ATTATTTTATGAATCAATAACTCGTTACTCTTCAGCGTTCCCATTCGTCTGGTTCAAGCTAACAAAAGTCAACCTTCTGATTGTTAATATTCCAGTTATTTACTTTGCAATTAAGTCAAAATATACCAGAGTTCATCCCGCTGAGCCGGATCGACCCGACCCCAGCTAGTAATTAACAACCAGAGGAAGAAGAAAGGAGGAAGTAATCAGTGCAATCAGCTGCTGGCGTCTGCATATGCAATGTGTTTACATGTCTCCTTGTGTTCTGCAGCAGTCGTTCCACTCTTTCAGCACATTTATTCACGGGATATAATCCCACTGAGCACAGAGCACAGCCCGGATAAGGGGACAGGAGATGAAAATCTGATTTGGGAATGCAAAATGGTGCATTAGGAGTTTGATTTATTGAAAGGAGGATAAAGTTTTCTGTAACTTCTCATTTCAGGCTCAGTTTTTGAAGCACAAGTGAGGCGTCTGGTTACCAGGAAGTCTGGCAATGACAAGTTGATCGTCTTATAGAGAGCAGCCACTTTTAAATGCTGTGATTTAGAATTTCAAAATAAGACAGAGCAAAAATGGGCATGCGACGCGCAGAAGTTTAAAATCATTAAAGAATAACGATGGAATTGTGCAAACTGGTTTAAAACGTGCAAAAATGTAATCCACCTGGATTACACTAAATTTATCAATATAAAAAAGAAAATAAATAAATGAATGAACAAACAAACAAATAAATAAATGATTGAATGAATGAATAAATAAATTAACAAATGACTAAATGAAGAGGAGACCACAGGTCCAATTTCCACAGTTACGCTGATGATACACAGCTGTACATCTGTGTCTCCTGATGACACACGGCCGATGGACACACTTTTTAATTGTATTTTTGACATCAAATCCTGGATGGCAGGAAACTTTCTCCAGCTCAACCAGGACAAAACTGAAGTTTTAGTTATCGGTCCTGAGGCCCAGAGAGAGAAGCTTTTACCAAAATTACAACCACAGTCTATTGGGGCCAGTAGGGGAGCTGGCTCCCTGGAGGGCTAAGCCTAACCAGCCATTCCTCCCCATCCCCGCATATTTCTCTCCTCATGCTCCCTCACATCATCAAACAAACATACACATAGGACCTTGGGGGGTGGACAAGTCAGGGGGTGCGGGTATGGACCCCATTTCCGCATTCCTGTGGCAACCTGCCCCCCAATTTTATTTGCACCTTAAACACTTCCACCGACGACATTCCACGCAAACACACACTTAGGGCCTTGGGAGTGAGCACATTCAACGGCATTTGGCAGGGGGATTTCTCAGCCTCCTCCCGAGTGCCGGTGCCCACTTCCAATTTTAAACTGCTCTTAGACACTGAGGGCTGTGGGTGTAAGTGTGGTGGTGTGGTGGCATCAGCTGGCATAGGCCGGATGATGCCTGCACTGCCCGCTCACCACAGCCATGGAATACACCTCATCAACACACAACACTATAATGGAGCAGGCGGAGGGAGACTAGGGGTCTTAGCACACCTCTGTTGTTGCTTGGCTTCCTGGGGCTGGAGGCTAGGAGGGAGATCTGGCCGTCTGGTTGGGGTCTGGGGTGGTGGGTTGCTGTGCTCGGCGTTGGGCGGGGGAGCCTGCTCATCAGCACCCCAGCAGAAAGGGTCAAACTCTGGGAACCGGTGGTGGTTGTACCCAGTGTGCAGCAGTACCGGGACCAGAGTGAATAGGGTGTGTATGTGTGAGCATGAGGGAGGGAGTGTGTGACTGTGTTTGTGTATGACTGTATATGTCAGGTGGGGCCTTTGACTCCTCCCCTCTCCTGGGACCTCCTTTGATGATATAGATCTTCGTCTCCCCTCCCCCTGCCACACCTGGTGTGGGGTGTGGTGCCTTGGTCTGCCTGAGTGTTCGTGGCTCCGGGTCAGGGGGTTTAAGATCTTTGGCGTCTGCCTGGTCAATCCCGGTGGCTGCCTGGTGGGGTCTGGGTCCCTGGGCTCTGCTGGGTCCTCGGCGGGGGTGGTTGCCCCTGGGTCCCGGGTCGCTGGGTCCCGGGCTCGGCCGGCTAGGGGGTGGGGGGCGGCGGGCGGGCCTGTGGGCTTGCCGCTGATATCTCCCGGGACTCTGCCGGCTGCTGGTTGTGACCCCCCGGGGCGATCCTCTGTGCCTCTCGAGGGGGGCGGGGGGCCTTTCTGGTTGCAGTCCCCTTGGGGTTCCTGTGTTCTGGGGCAGCGCCTGGATCTCTGGGACTTGGAGCTCCCCCCGTCTCCTACACATCTTTGGGGGGCAGATCTGTGGTCCCTCACACTCTCTATTGGACGCTCCTATAGAGAAACCTTACATAAACAAGCGCGTGTACACACACAGGTGCTCACATGGTGCTCTCATAAGTATGGGCTTGGGCACGTTCAACACATGTCTCAAGGCTGTCGTTGCCACTAAATGAACTATGATTTATTATCGTGTGATTGTTCAGTTAAACAATGTTTATTTTATATTTCATCATCAAGTTGACGCAGTGATAGCTTGCTCCTGTTGTATTGTTGTGTGTCCCATTTTTTTCTGCTCTTCTCTTTCTGCAGGTCTAGAAGCAGACTCTTGTTCATTATTGTTTATTTTTGTGGACCCCCCCCCCCCCCTCCCCCCCTCTTCCCACCATTTGTCTTTTCCTTTCTCTCTCACCTCTGTCTCCGTGTCTGGTCAGAATTACAAAGCATTCAGCAACAATAACAATAAAGTTTTAAGTATCAGGCGTGACATTAAAAGCAGACGCTTTGATGCTCCACCTGAGAGTAAATCTGTAAGGCTTGTCACCAGCATTCAGACATCAATTCTGCTTGCTTCACAGCCAGACAGGACAGGGGAGAAAAAAAAAATTACAATCACTGTCTCTTAATCCATCTGAACAAGTGAAGAACCTGGGTGTCATCTTTGACTCTGAGCTGACTTTTATTCATCATATTAAAAATATCACCAAAATAGGTTTTTATCATGTAAAGAACATCGCCAGAGTCCGCCCTATTCTCTCTCGGGCCAATACGGAGACGCTGATGCACGCTTTTATCACCGGTAGGATAGACTACTGCAATGCCCTGCTGTCTGCTCTTCCTAAAAAGAGGATTTCAGGTTTACAACTATTACTAAACTCAGCAGCACGTGTCCTGACGTAGTCCAGGAGGCAGGAGCACATCACTCCGGTTTCAGAATCACTGCATTGGCTCCCCGTGTGTTTCAGGATCGATTTCAAAATACTTTTAACGGTTTTTAAGTGTCTTAATGGTCTTGGGCCTTCTTATCTTTCAGAACTGCTTTTACCGTATGAACCCACGCGGTCTCTGCGCTCCTCTGGCAGCCGTCTCCTTGTCATCCCTAAAGTCAGGACACATATTCACGGCGAGGCGTCCTTCCAGTACTACGGTCCTCGCCGCTGGAACGAGCTGCCAGGGGACCTCAGGGCTGCTGAGAACATTCATGTTTTTAGAAACAGACTCAAGACTTATCTTTTTAGCTTAGCTTTTAACTGATTACTCTCACTTTTTAAATTATTTAATTACTTAGGTTATTTATTTATCTATTTATTTTATTTATTTCATGTATTCTCTCTTTATACGTGCTTTTTAAACAGTTTTTTTACCGTGATTTATGATCAACATTATTTTAATATCTATATAACTTTTTATATTACAATCCTCATTTGAGCTCTTTTGATTTTATATTTTAACCCTAATTTAATGTTTTTCCAGCGCTTCCTCTGTGGGAGCCCTCTGCCCCGGCGGTGGTGGCCTGGGTGTTTTCCAGGTGTGCCTGGGTGGTGGTGGGGGTTTCTGCCCTACCTGCCCTGGGCGCCCTGTGTCGGTGCCTCGGCTGCTGCTGTGGATCTGCTGCTGCCGGGGCGGATGGCTCCCCTGATGGCGTTTCCTTATCCTTAGCTGGTCTGGCTCATCTGATCTCAGCCAATTGTTTTTTTTTTACCATGGGGAAGGGGGCATGTATGTATGTATGTGTGTGTGTGTGTGTGTGCCAGAGGATGAGTGTTGTGAAGGGGTTTTTATTGTCAGACTGTTAGTGCTATATAAATAAAAGTTGATTGATTGATTGACAAATAAATGAATGAATGAATGAATGAACAAACAAATAAATAAATGATTGAATGAGCAAATGAATGAATAAATAAATGAACAAATGAATAAATAAATAGATAATTGATTGAATGAACAAATACATGAATAAACGAATGACTAAACCCTGCAAGGGGGAAGAAATTACAAATGGTTAAAAATAAATAAAGATGTCTTATTTTCTATAACACACGACTGAAACAACATAAAAAAGCCAAAAGAGAAAAAAGATTAAAACCAAGTTTTTTTAGTTTATTTTCTGCAACAAAAGCCTCAACTTAACCCCTCGTTGCTTATTCTACAGACACAATCTGAGGCTTCGGCGCCACGGAGAGTGTCAGAAACAGCTGTTTCATCTGTTTTGTGCTCCGGCGGACACGACGCCAGGATGTGAAGGCACTCAGCTCCACAAACGAATCACTGACAACAAGTCTGTCACACTCTATCATAAGAGAGGGAACTATAATAATCCTGCTGAAAACCGCCCGGCTAAAGAAACACGGAGTGGAGGGCAGCTCTGTGCTACTCACACTGCCGAGACTCGCCTACAGGGACGAGGCTGAATGCCTGGCTCATGAGCTGCTGCCACAGGACCCTATGAGGGGGGCGGAGGACGAGGCTGAATGCCTGGCTCATGAGCAGCCAGGTCATCGCTCGCAGGACAGAGTTCACTGGGATGTGGGAAGTTGGATCTTCAGGCAACAGTTCAAACAGAAACCCAAACACTGTCAGCTTCTCGCTATTTGCCATCACGTCTTTAAAAGTTATAAATACAAATAATTAACGTGCGGTCGTCCTCGGGACAGCGAGAGCTGAGGGCCGGCCGTCCACACCCATCACCCCATGGCCTCTCATGGGATCGGCACGAGTGCTGAAGCTCTATATAAAGCCCGGCAGAGACTTGTGTGCCTCACCCCACTCGTCTTTAGGCAAACACGGTTAATTATCCGAGGATTTCGGCATTTATCAATTAAAAAGCAGCAGTTTTTTTAAGCATGACTGAGCCTGCTAGAACAGAGAAGCCATGTGAGGAGCACAATACGGCTCCCACGCAGGGGAAATGGTGGCAGTTTAGCCAAATATTGAACCCGGATGTTGGGCTGCCACGTGTCCTGGAGCCAGGGGAGCGGCGGTGGATGGAGGTGGACTGGTTCAGGAGGAATCTGGCAGCCTTTTCCTGGCTGGGGTCCATTCCAGCACCGCTGTCGGGGCCCTACGTCTCTGAGTCGATGCTTCATCCAGGACAGAAGATCAGTAAGTGGAGGGTCAGCATGGACGTAGCTCACTTCCATCCCTCAGAGATTTCCCTGAGCCTCAGAGACGGATTTCTGGAAGTTGCAGGTACAGCTTTAATAATTAAACACCTTTTCATTAGCAGTGATCGTAGCTCTGACTGATACATTATCTTCTAAATCTGGATGTTAAAACCCTGATCTAATGTTTGTATCTCAGACAGTAGAGGAGCGTTTTAGGTGGCGGTTCACAACAAGGCCCCATAAAACCAAACATGGCGAGAAAACAAGCTGAATGCTGCACATTTAGAGAGCTGCTTGGGGAAATTAAAGTCAGAGCTTTGTGACACGAATTGATTTCTGTGAGTGGGTTCTCTGTCTTCAACTCTCTAAACGGTAATCTTTCCCCAGGGACGCACGAGGAGAGGCCCGACGAGCACGGATTTATAGCCAGATGTTTTACAAGGAAGTACAGGTGGGAAAGAAACATCCGCAGCAACTCGTCACGCGTGACCGCGAACACGGGGCAGGACGGGCGTTACGTTTACAGCACAAGATAAAAAGTATTATCATTATTATTATTATTCTTCAAGGCTTCCAGCCGAGGTGGACGCGACCAAACTCACGTCCAGACTTTCTGTCGACGGAATCCTGACCATCGAAGCTCCAGTTCCGGAATTCTCTGCTCCTGTCGCCATCATTCTTCCAATAAAGGTGGAACAAGTAAGAGTTTACAAAATGCAGAAAGCGTAAGAGGAAGAGCTGACATGTCGGCTAAAGTCAGTTCTTGGGACAGCTGGCTTGGATTGAGCTAAAATTGGGGAAGAAAAGAGGCCAAATTTATATATTTTATGAAAGATGGGAATGTCTGAGGGGCCTTTGTGCAAACTGAATCCTTGGGTGAACTCTAGACTGTTTGGGTTAGGGTTGAGGAAAAAAAGCTCACATGAACAAAGTAAATGCATGAGAAAAAAAATGCATCCAACCACACGTGAATCACAGTGGCGGCTGGTGAAAAATATTTTTGGTGGGGCTGTGCTATTTTTTATTTTTAAACAAACTTGTGCTTTCTGAGCTTTGTACACAACTTCACTATTTCCTGAATTAAGCACAGCTCTTTTATTTCCTGTCTTACATCATTGGACAAACTGAATAATCCAGGTGTGTCTGACTATTGGCACGCTGCCTTGCGGATCAAGGTTGAAAAATACTGCATTAAACTGCACATAAAATAACACGACCATATATGGTAAATAGGCAATGCAAGAGGAAAGTAACAAAAACATTTTGTTTAATTTCAACATTTGAGTGAACACCAAAAATTATGAGCAGGTCACTGTTACAGTAATGGTAGTAAACACTACTTAGACAAAATGCCAGAAATTTACACTGCTAAATATTTCTGGAGTGTTGTGCCAAGGTCAACTTTATACAAAGATCAAGTGGATGCATTTGTGTGTGTGTGTGTGTGTGTGTGTGATACCTCATGTGTACAGAAATGTTGCCCTTCTGTCCTTCTGAGTGGCAAAGCTCTCGATTAGCTTTTTATTGAAGTCAGGAATGTTTGTGACAAGCTTGTTTTTCCATGGAGAGCATGGCAAGAGCATTCAGCCCATCCTGTGTCATGGTGTTCCTCAAGGAAAGTCTTAATCCTCTTTAAAGTAGAAAAGCACCTTTCTGATTCGGCTGTGGTCATGGGTGTGGTGACAAGAATCTTCTTTTGCATGGCTCAGGATGGTGTGAAAAACCTGTCACATGATAAATAAAAAACAACAGATAAGTACATAGGAAACACTTTCATAGGAAATAATGTCATCAGTATCCTCTTACAAATGTCATATTTCCCAGTTTTTGGGACAATAAAACATTTCTGATTCTCAATCAGATGTTTTTACATTTGAGGTAAAAACATCTGATTGAGAATCAAAAATGTTTAATTGTCCCAAAAGCTGGGAAATTTGTTTGCTGCAGCAGATGTGTAACAAGTAAAATGGAATCAGATTGATGTATGTACAAATTTACTTGAAATACACATTTACATGATTAAATATGTATAATAAGTATGTGTGTTGAAATTAGTTTTTACAGTTATTGCACATTAAACATGTTATTAAACAAATGTCCCGGTTTGTGGGACAACCAAGGATTTCTGATTCTGATTGTCTTGTTCACAGAAATGTAATGTACAGCTTACCTCTGCACCCAGCTGCTGTTGTTCCCTGCATGGCAACGTTAGCTCTGCTGCCTAGCATGGCTAGCTTCACCGTGTTGTTGTCCATGTGTGACCGGGATGACTCGTGTTTCTTCCCCTTCTCAGAAAAATGTTTCATGTCTGTAACTCCTGACTCATCCATGCCTTATCTGTCCCAGCCGTTTTGAATAACAAACACGGAAAGCAAAATAACGCATTAGCGTGATTGCATCCAGCTAGCCTAGCCTTCCTGGTGTACCAATTTCGGGAGAAGCCTCGTGTGTACAGTTTACCTCTCTCCTTGTCCTGCTGGCTTATCTTTACGTCGGGCTGATCTGGTCCAAGCTCTCTGACATTAAGTTTTTCCACCATAGTTCTCCTCTCGAACGGATACTGGAGAAGAGACTGAACTGAATTCAGTGGCTGCTGAGATCCGGTATCCATGCTGGTTGTAGTCACCGGCGGCATCCATGTTACATCTGCGTCATGACCAAAAACGACTCTGCCGAGTTCTACCGAACACCAACGAATCCTTTGGCGGTAGCTCCATCGCCCATCATGCTTCTGAAACGTTCTGAAACAACGTCGACGCTGATTGGATACATTCCCATTCCTACCCTTTGATATTCTTGTCAGCAATTGGACAGCTGGTCTCGCGCTGTTTGGGCGATTGAAAAACAGCACACAGCCTCCACCGCTCGGCAGAGACCGGCAGAGACCAATATAGATATATATATGATTTATTTTTGTTACAAAACACACAATTAACTTAGAATATGTGATTATTGTTAATTTTATTTATTTATTTTTTAAATAAAAATTAAAAACACGGAAAAACTGGGAGGGCGGCGCCCTATCGCCCTCTACTGGCCAGCCACCACTGGTGAATCACATTTCTAACTGATAAAGTCTCCTTTCATGTTATTATGAATGAAGACTTTGTTTTTTTTTTGTTTGTTTGAATACAAATGCAGGTGGAGACAGAAGAACCTGAAGAACTGGACATGAAAACAGACGATAACGCAGAAGTGTCTCAATCAGAAGACCAACCCTGCCGCAGCACAGCTGCGCCTGAGCCAGAAGATGAGGAGACCCAAGAAAAGCCAGCTGGAGACGCACATCCACCAGTGGCTGGAGAAGATAAACGCTTAGACAGTCTGCAGCAGTCTTCTGAGCACCATGAAGCTGTAGGAGAACGCCGGGCTCCATCCAGCCAGCTGGAACATGGAGAGGTCCAGGTGAAGGAGGATGGGGGCGAGGAGCTCTCCCAGCCTGAGGAGCAGGAGCTGGGCAACAGGAGTGACATCCAGAGCCAGGAGCTGGAAGCTGCTGACATGAAGCAGGAACCCACAGAGTGAACAGCCCTACAGCGCCGGTTCCGCAGACGCGTTCGCATCAGTCAGTCGCTACTAGAACATTAAACCGTGCTTTTGCTGGAGCTCCATTAAAGCTATAGTCTGCAGAAATGTGCGTCGTGTTCCTTCTAGTTTGTTTTCATCTGAAAGTACAAAACTGCTCATCAAACACACGGTTACATCAGATCCTGCATGTTTGCATAGCTGTGGCTTTCTTACATCAACGCCTTGCCCAAGGAAAGACAGGCTTAATTCCAATATGGCTGTTGCCATGGTAACAGCATAAGTCCCGTGTAATCTAATAGCAATGTGGCAATTTGTGAGAGAATGACACACGACAGGACGCAGGGAAGCCTTTCGTTGAAATTCAGACCAATGACTCGGCTCCATTCCAATTTACAGAGATTACAGCGTTTTGCATCAGACAGTAGGAAATGGAACGGTCCCAGTTTAGCTTCTTTTTTCCTGCTTGCACACAAAAGCTGAGGCTGTGGAGCCTCTGCGGGTTGGGTCCGTCCTGCAGCCATCGCTGAGCCAAACGTCGAGCTCTCCAACGAAAACACGACAGGATCGCTGGAGCGACGCCCGCGAGCGTCCGGAAAACAGAGAAGGAACCGCAGACAGGGAGCGGGGGTGGCTCGACATTTTTATTGCATCATCAATACAAAAGCATCAAGAAAAACACGAGACTCTGCACTCCAACATCATGCAAATAACATAATAATAAAAAAAATCTAAGTTACAAAAGTGTGGAACACTTCAAATTATTATATTTTTGCACACATTAAGTATATTTACATGGCAGCATGAATGCACACGCTCGTTTTTACGACGAGAGAAACAAACGAACAAAAGCGTTTCTCACTTCGGATGAATTCCTGTTAATGACGTGCTGCCTGATGACTGCTAAGCTGTACGCGGCGTAAATCAAACCTGATTTGAATAAACACCTCCCCTGTTTTGCATTTGTAAACATCATCAGTAACAATCAGGGCTGATTAGGTCGGCTGCTGGTGGAGTCGAGTCACAGCAGGTCAGCGTCGAGTCTCAGGACCCGATGGTCAAATCAAAAACACTCTAATGTTGGTTTTCTGAGGAAAAACAAAAACTACTGGAAGTAATTTAGTGATGCTGCATTCATTAAATCATAATTGAATTTATTTGCACTTTAAAGAGAATTCATTAGATGAGCACTAACAGTTTATTGCTTGCAAAGGCAAAATGGAGAATTTCATTATGCTAATTATTATTCCACCATACTGGTTTTAAAAGATAAATGTGCAAACTGTCTGCAGTGTTTAAATACTAGTTCAGTGAATCATAGTTTCCATCTATTAGATGGCTTAATTATTTGTTTATTAAAAAAAAAAAGAATTATTTTGGAAAACTTCTCAAAGATTAAGGGACGTGAAACAAAATCCTGATTCTTTCCATAAATGAAAACAAACAGACTTTTTCTTTTGTTTTGGCCTTTTTTCGTCCACTTGAGCAACAAAATCTCACATTTATTGGACAAATATGATGTTAAGAACATTAAAGTTTATAGTAATAAAGCTCAAGTCAGCGGGACGAGCCGAGGCTTCCCTGCTTCTAAATAAATAAAAAACGACTTGGTGCAAATTTAACAAACCGGACTCGATTGTCCTGAAAACCTTTACACGTTTATTCTAATTATTCAGAAACACGAAGATGAAAGGCGACACATTTCCTGTCTGACGTCTGGAGGATGTTTGTTTAGAGCACCGGGGCCTCGGGGGCCTCGGGGGCCATGGCCTCCTCCTGCCCCTCCTCCCGCGTGTCACCTCCCTGGGAGCTTTCGCTGCTAAAAAGGTAATATGGAGGAGTCTGCCGAGCCTCGATGATCAGGACGCCCTCAGGCGACAAGGAGGCGAAGACCGTCAGGGGGTCCACCTCTGCGGGGATCCTGATGGAGTGGAGGAGGGAGAAAAAGGATCAAATGTGAGCGTCGATGAATTTTAGTGGAACAAAAGTTTAATTGGTGGAAAGTCAACGTGTGTTCAAAACGTTTTAAAATGTGTGTGTGTGTGTGTGTGTGTGTGTGTGTGTGTGTGTGTGTGTGTGTGTAGAGGGTGAGGGCAGAAACTGAACAGGATAATAAAAAAAGAGCCTTAAAGAGATAATGTGTAGTTTTCACCATTAATCTCTGGAAATATCCATCTAAATGTTGTTGAAAATGAATTAATGATGTCCAGCTGTTGAAAAATATTGGTGGCTTCTCATCATATAACCATAAAAATCAGGTCTAAAATACATGGGAGTGTGTCTAAGTCTCTGCGCAACACCATATTAGATGCCATGTTTCCTTCTACGGGAGCCCATGAGGACAAAATGTCTTTACTGATTCGTAACAATTACAAAACTTTCGTCATTCTTAAAGGTTGCTGGTTTACACATTTACCTCTTCACTAGTTGCCAGTGATATAAGGGAGTCTGATGTGCTCGTTATTTTGCTCAAGTTTGCACTCCACAGGGCTTTTTGACCCTAATGGGCATCCGTTGGTCAGGTCTTACTCTAACACAAAAATACTGCTCGCTTGCAACGATTTAGGTTTCTACTGCCCCCATCGCCAAGAAAAATACACACTGTCACTTTAAAGGAGGTCATAAAAACTCTGACGTTACTTTTTTGAGTGACAAACTAAACCAGCACATCTTTTGTAATACACAGAGATTTTTAAAGTGTTGGAATCGGATCAGAGCTGCAATCATTACAGTCACCCTGTTTTAGTGCCAAGTTAAAGGGAACGTTTTGGACTTTGTTCAAAAGCAAGTGCACCTCAGTAGGGGATCAATGTGTGGAACAAGCCTGATGAAAAAGGTGATTTGATCATTTAAAACAACAAAGCTCGATGAAATGTACCGCCTGGCCAAAGAAAAAAGGTCCCACACTGTCATATTTAACTGGACCGCCTTTAGCTTAGATTACGGCATGCATTCGATGTGTGCTTCGATAAGCTTCTGCAACGTCAGAGTTATTTCCATCCAGTGTTGCATTCATGTCTCACCAAGATCTTACATTGGTGATGGTAGAGTCTGACCGCTGCACAAAACCTTCTCCAGCACATCTCAAAGATCCTCACTGGGGTTAAGGTCTGGACTCTGTGGCGGCCAAAGATGTCTCATGCTCCCTGATCCACTCTTTAACTATTTGAGCCCTATGAATCCTGGAATTGTCATCTTGGAAGATGTTCGTGCCATCAGGGAAGATGGAATAACCTGGGGCCTCATTTATCAAGCTAGCTTACGCACAAAACTGGGTCGGAAAACTGCGTAAGCAACTTTCCACGCAAACTTTGGGATTCATGAAAGAACTTAGCGGGAAAATGTGCGCAACTTGAAGTTGACTAAGGACCTGGCTTACACACATGGTGGACATGGAGAGCACCTGCAGTGCTGCTGCTGAGAAGGATATCCTGCAGCATTATCACTTGTACAGCTTCGTTTTCACACAGAAGACCCCCACCCCCCACCCCCCACTCACACACACAGAGCCTGAAGTGCAGAATGCAGAATATCAGCAGGGGGGCAGATTGAGACAGAACATCATGCGTCTGTGACGGTGTGTGTCCTGTCACTGTGACCCGATTGATCATGCGCCCTGGCTACTCAGGCACAGGGAATGTCCGTTTGGCTGACTGGTTAGCGTGTGTGACTTTCACCCGGGAGTCTGGGGACAGAATCCCGATTGGACCATTTTTTAATATCCGCCACAGATCTCTCTGAAGAAGTCAACATTGACGGCTTCAGCAATGCTGTGCCACTCCGTGGATTTTCTCTTATTTGTTTTGCAAAAGCACTTCCTTTCATTTCTCCACCTCACCCACAGGTATACCTCAACTTCTGATTGTGAAATTGTGCTTCCTTGATCTGCCTTGATCTACGGTCGCCATGTCATTGGCGGAGCGCTGCAACAGCCGGCTTATGTATATGCATGAGATCCACAAGGCACTTTGCATTGACCATTTATGGCAGTAAGTGGGCGTGGTGAGGGCGGGATGTGACTAAAATGCAGCTGAGAACCTTTCTAGATAGTTTCTGATTTATCAAGCGGAGGTCGCGTGCAGCTGTGCGTCCTCCCTGTTTGATAGATCACAAACCTACTTGGCGTAAGTACTTCTTTTTGCTGAGCTTAAGTACGGTTTTAGTAAGGATTCTACGCCATGTTTGATAAATGAGACCCCTGGTCCTTTAGTATATTCAGGTAGTCAGCTGACCTCATTCTTGGAGCACATCCTGTTGCTGAACCTAGACCTGATCAACTGCAACAACCCCAGATCATAGCACTGCCACCACAGGCTTGTACAGTAGGCACTAGGCAGGATGGGTGCATCTGCCCTCTCTTCTTACCCTGACGCACCATCACTCTGGAACAGGGTCCACCTGGACTCATCAGACCAGTTTTAATAAATCGTTGGGACAGTTCTTAACCAGTTACAGTCGTTTCTGCATCTTCTTAGATGTTTTCTCTGCTTGATGCCAGTGACCTGACCCTTCCCACACAGACTAACATCTTTTCCATGACCACCAGACGTGTATTTCCACCTGTTTTTTTAGGAAATGAGAAACAACTCAGTGCACCAGTTGGGTTAAATAAACTGTAGCAGCCGAAAGTTAACCCCCTAATAGGAGGCTCCGAACCGGTTTGCTTAGTTAAATCCAGGTGGAGGCTTTTTTGGGCTGGGCGGTGTATATTTTCACCTTTTCTCTGAGTTTGTCAATTTTATTTATTTTTTGTTGTTAAACTAAACAAAGTAACTGAACTAATTATTAATCATTAATGGGATTAAATAAGTTTAGGCCTACCTGCTCCTTTAAAACATGTAATTATTGGGTTTTAAGACGTGTTATCATTTACACTTTTTCACGAATAAAAGGTGTATAAGGCTACTGCACACACACACACACACACACACACACACACACACACACACACACACACACACACACACACACACACACACACACACACACACACACACACACACACACACACACACACACACACACACACACACACACACACACACACACACACACACACACACACACACACAGTCGAATTGTCTGTCCAAATATGGGCACTGTAAGGTTTCTGGGAGCAGCCACGTGTTTTCTTGGGGGGGGGGGGGTTAATATAAACACCAGACTGCTGTCAGAGGAGCAGCAGCTACCCTCCAACTTCAGCTTTTGTGTGAAATAAAAAGTCAAACTGAGCAGAAGAAGCTCAGAGAATCATTTCTATTCCAGTATTCAGACATCAGCGTTTCACTGGGATCAAAGACTCAAGACTCTAATACAAATCAGGGAGGATGTTAGGAAAACTAATGTGATCCAAGAGTGGAGTCACACCAGCGCCAAAGCCCAGAAAAGATGAAGCGAGAGGCCGAAGGCGTCAGGTGGGAGGACAAACGGACGCCCGAAGGCTTCGAGAAAAACATTCAGAGTTAATGTCAAACGCTGAAAAATGACACCAGAACAGGATATTCTCATTTTCACAGCCGAGTTTTCTGAAAAAAGGGAAAAATTTTCCACACAAAACTTTCTTAAACTGTCTGGTTAACAATGAAGTAGCTGCAGAGATGTTTTAGTCTGGACCAGAGCTGCAAAAACATCTATAAATCAGCAATACGGTCTACAAAGTTCCAGTGGGCTCTAAAAATGAACGAGTGTAATTAAAGTTGGTGCAGCGCTCATATTCATCAGGAGCCGTTTGCACCTCGTCTTCCATCAATCAGCCAGTTTCTGTAAAACTGGAGCTTTTTACGTCAGCCGGGAGCAGATGGTGGGAGGAGCTTGTTTAACGTCGGCCAGTTTATGATTCTGCACAGCTGCCAGAAAATGTTCAATGTTTTTTCTTTAAATTCAAAAGATCAGAGTGACGAGACGGTGAAACGACAGGGCGCCACTTTTGTGACTGAGAGTTCCATGTGCTGAGGTTCAACTGTGACCTTTGCTCTCAAAGGTCGACCCTTTTGGTTAATAAGTGATGCTTCTGTGTCCTGCTCTGAACCCTGCTGCAGGCCAGCGAGTGAGCTTTCCACCTGCAGCCACACTGAAACTCGTTTAACCAGATGGAGTTTCGGGGTCAGTTATTTATACGCTCTACGGGCCGTCTACTCTCTAAACATCACAGCTTTCCATTTACGCTGCACCGTACAGGAAGAGCTCAGAGCTGCCGGGATCCGGCTTCTAATTAACCAACAGGGAGTTTAGCAGAACTTGGGAGAAGCTGATTCACACCAGAGTTTAGCGTTTGATGTTTGAAGTGAAACAGAATCAGGGGGACATGTACATACTGGGGTTTGAAACCTGTGGCTCGTTGGACCTTCCATAACCGCCCTTACCTCGTTCACTGCCATTGACGACTAAAGTCGTCATTTGCAGTATTTTTACTGTGTGGGCGTCGGACGAGCCCCCACACCACGAGAAAAAACACCCAGCTCTAAAGCTGATCATCATCCACGTACATCACAGGTCACATGATCAGGAAACAGAACATCCATGTGTTAGGAGATCGTTTTGGGCCGTTGCTGTAAAAAAAGTAAGGCGCGAACCGGAAAAGTTTCTGCCGATCACAATTCGACAACAAATTATGAATGAACGGATGACGCTCAAAACGCGCGGATTTTCCTGATGTAAGAGGTGAGTTCACTCTTTGTTTTGGTTGTTTTGGCGTCGACATCATCCTAGCGCGCAACGCTCTGTGATTTTTAAAAAAAAACTGTGAAAACGCTGAAAAACGCTGGCAGCGAATGCGTTAAGAAGTTTGGCTAAAAATGAATAGTTTTACATCTTACACTTACACTTTTTCTTCCTGGCACTCGCGGAGTACAGACGCTTCTCTTTACGCTCCCTTATCTTTTTTCCCAAGGCTCTTTGTCCTGTCTGCCCACAGAGCGCTTCTCTGCATTTCTTCTGAAAAACCCTATTTTTTAACCATGGATTTGATAAATTGGTCATTTAACGCGATCGATAAGATTTTTTCAACAATGAGAACGGAGCAGGGGGCTCCCACATGCCCACAGGGGACACACCCGGCGGGGTATATGCTGGATTCCTGGAGGGAATGGAAGATCGTATGCCTCCCCCAGTTGTCCATTGAGGATGTCGAAGACGTGTGGATATTCAGCCTGATGATCACTGGATTTCTCCTGATTGGAGTGGGAGGATATCTGGTTTTCTGGAAATTTGGGAAGACGGGAGCGATTGGAGGGCGACCCGCACCCACGGAAAGCACCGTCCGTGTGGAGACTTCTCAGACTGGGACGTTACTCGAGGTGAATCGTAAGCTGGACAATGTTCTAGCTGCGTTACCGGTATTAGTGCGCAAAATGGATGTCATCTCGGAGAGGGTCACCGGACGGTATGGACAGGTTTAAAAACCCAAAATGGCTTCACTGAAGGACTGGAATGATCAGTTTAAAGACTGAAGGCAGAGAGGAAAATTATCTCAGCCTGACCCAAACAAAGTCTTGTTATCCGAATCTGACGCCCTGGTAGCCTTCAAGATGCTAACAACAACCCCCACGAAGGAATGCAGACAGATGCTGTGAAAACCCGACCCCCCCCCGGGGTGGGGGGGGGGTGGGGGGGGCGCACTAACCACTGGACTACCAAGTCTGCTACCGTTCACACCAGTCGCCTAAGCCACACATCCCAGCCCGGCCAGGGGAGACAGCTTCAGACCAGAGACTAGCCTCCGGAAGAGGAGCAGGGCCTGATGAGGAGTCTAGTTTCCACTGATGCTTTATAAGATTTTCAAAACAAAACTCTAAATTTGCAGCTGAAACAGGAAAATGCACGAATGCAGCCAAAAATGGGTTTGGAATTTGTGTTCATGAGGAAATAATATCGCATATGATAAAAAGCTCCAAAAGGTGGATTTTCCATGAAATGGTGCCTTTAAGGGTCTGTAGGACTGAATCTGAACAGAAAAGAGACAAAAGCCGAGGTCGAAAAGCGCCGTGCGTTAACAGATTTATTAAAGGATCCCGGGGTGTAAAAATAAAGAAGCTTTGAGCGGTTAGTTCACGCCACTTTGTGGTCTTGGAGCCATTATTTTATCTCCTTTACTTCATACGTAAAAGATGTTAAAAAGGGGGAACAGGATTGTTTTTACTTCCAACATCATCATCATACTTTCCACTTCTAGTGATCCTCTCTTCTCCGGGGTCATCAAATGAAGGTGAATCACGCCTTATGTAGTAAAAACTAATATTGTGTATTTTATCTTCTCGACTTGACGCCCCACTGCTGTGAGCTCCATCTAATGAATCAGCTCTGCTAATATTCCTACGGCCGCTCATAACGGCGCCGCTAAATGAAGCCGTTACAGTGATGAGTGGAAGAAAAGAGGAGGATCGATGCCTAATTACTCCAACTCACTGGAAGTGAAAGAAAAGCCTCGCTTAAGTTTTACTCACTGGATCTTCTTGGTAAAGTTCTTGGTCACGATGCCTCCCTCCTCTTGCTTCTCTTCGTGTTTTCCTGTTTGGGAGGAGAGGTGGTGAGAATAAACGATCACGTGAAACCAAAGTCAGACATGTTCAGGGTTGATGTCAGACTCGTTCCTGCTGCCCGGTCCCGGCCGTGCGCCGGCTTTGGGAGGATTACATCACCTCCATGCGCTGTAGATGTCGGCTCTGAGGAACACGGAGTCCCGAAAACGCCTCCAACCCCCCCCCCCACCTTCTCCCTGTGGTTTATGACCTGCACATTTGTGGAGCAGCTGCTCCTAGAAGGTTAAATATTGATGTCGCCACCAGGATCTGCTCCGTCCCTTTGTGCCCCCCGAGGGTCAGATATGCGACGCCCCCCACCCGCCTGCTGAAGGTGCTGAACGGTGTCAGAGATCTGCTCCGTGGAGACGTGCGATCACCGCTGAGGTCATGAGGTCATTAAGAAGATCTCAGCATGACCTCAGAAGTACAACTCATCCCCTGAGAGAGCCGTCTCCATCTTGGTGACACACATTTCAGAGGTTTCATGCAGAGGGGAGGAGGAGGTCGGTGTCTAAATCCCTCCTCATGTGGAATATTCTGGGATGTCATTTGCATTTCTGCACATGAAAGGCTCTACAGGTTTGATTATAGGACAGTTTGGACCCTTTAAAGCCGTCATCCCACGAGTTTAATTGGTGCTGATCTTCAAACTGAGTTTGAGAAAATCCGACAAAAACAAAATCACTACACGCGTGTCCTCGTTAACCCGCTTCCCATCCCATCCAGTGCAACCAGGAAGTGTGTTTATTGGGTCCCATTTAGAGGAGCGCAGACGAAACCTGCCGAGCCTGACCCGGTTCAGAGGCCCTCTTTTCTTCTGAAGATGTTTAAAGCTCTCGTTCACGCGCTGCATCCGCGGTGGTCTCTGAATGAACGCTTTCGGTGTCGTTCTCATGGGAAAAAAGCTCTGGCGCTCCTGTTCCGATGACTAACGCAGGGAATTGGGGCAGAATGCTTTTTCTCGTTTGGCCTGTGTGTGAATCTCAGAAGGGACCGATCTTATTTAAAAAATAATAAAAAATGGTTTCTCTGTGATCTTGGTCTTTAATAAAGAGCCAAAGTTATAAAATGGGATTAAAGTGCTGCTCACGTGGTCACAAGGAACATGTGAATAAGAAAATCTACGTCTGTCCTAAACTCCTCGGTCTCCTTAGATCCTTTTCAGATCTTGTTGGATCTCCAGGTTCTGCCTCTCTTGCCTTTTTTTTTATTATTTAAATTTAAACTTTATTCTACTTCAGGGGCGGGCAACTCCAGTCCTCGAGGGCTGGTATCCTCCATCTTTTTGTTATTTCCCAGTTCCAACACAGTTGATTCAGCAGCTCATCAAGCTGCAGAAGCCAGCTAATCTCCTGCCGATTGACATCAGGTGGGTTGAAACAGGGAAAACAGTAAAACATGTGGGATAGCGGCCCTCGAGGATCAGGATTGCCCGCCCTGCTTTTCTTCCTTGACCCTCATTAGATCTTCTGCGTTAACTTCATCTCGGCGAGCGTTCACGCCCCACAGCTGAGAGCTCCTGTCCGTCTCCACTGCTGCTTAAGATCTCATCTTTGCCCGGTGAGAGGAAGCCTTAAGACCTGCTTTCATTTGGTTCTGTTCCACACTTTTAGAACAGGCCGAGCAGCAGACCCAACATGGAGCTGAGTGGCATACCAGCGTGTTTATAAAAAACTCAGTGGGTGGGGGGAGGCAGCTGTCCTCTGTGGCCTCCTCGGCTCCGGGCATCCCTGGAATCCGTCTGTCTTCCACAGCGTCGACGGGGAAGAAGTTTCCACAACTTGCTCCGACACTGCCGGGTCGGAGCAGAGCCACTTCCAGAACGTTCTGCTCGTCTTCACACAAACAGAGCCTGTTGTCACAGCCCTTAAATCTAAATCAAGCCCATGAGCGGCTGAGGGAGCCATTCTCCAAGAATCTGGAACAGGTGGTGAATCTTGAGGACCTGCCAACATCCCAGTTTCCAAAAACCTGTCGTCCACTTTTATATCAAGACTCACTCTGAGATGAGTCCGGCTGCTGGGACGGTTTTCAAAGAGCCGGGAAGGAACATTCAAGATGAAACCAGTCTTGGTTAGGAAGTCTGCCTGCTTCAGAGCTGAATCTGCTCTTGAAAGTTCTGATTTATTCTAAACTTTTCAGGCCATCGCTGCTTACTGGAGTGTTTCTCCTGGAGGTTTTACACAGATGTTTAAATATGCATGACTTCCTGCTTCAATAATACATTATTTTTATTACATTTCCTGTGAAACGCAGCAGAGGAGGTGACCTCGGGGTCCCGATGACAGCTGCAGAGCTGAAGATAAGTTATTTCTCTCTTTTCTGTCTAGTTTGGATAAAAATGTAAAAAAATCCCCAGAAACATTTAAAATCTTAGTTTCTGTCTTTGTACAAAAACTAAACGAGTTCCCGTTTGAGTCAGATGCTTGGAAAAATGTGATAAATATAGGTCTTTTTGAACTTTGACCTCTAAACACCAAGCTGCAGCTCAGCTCACCTGACACCTCCACGAACCCGTCTCTGGTTTTGACGTTCAGCTCCGCCGCCCGGAAGCTGTGGACGTTCACGCAGACCTTCCAGGGCTCCCCGCCGGTGGTGGTGGGCGGGCTGCGGGAGGGCGGCTCTCCGTACCTGCTGGTGTACAGCGCGGGGCCTCCCGTGGAATGGCGCGCGGGGAAACCTGCGCGTAAACCGCCGCTGAAGGGCGACGGGCCCAGGCGCGTGCTCAGCCGGCCTGGTCGAGCCCACCCGGGCCAATCCAACGCCAGGTCATCGGGAAAAGGCGGCATCCCAAAGTCATCGCCCATAAACCGGGAAGCAAGCTGGTCCCCGAACGGAGACTCTCCAAAGGGATCTCTAGGAAACCGCTGCCGGTTCCCCATCGTGTAAAAGTCTCCCTCTGCCATCTCCAGCTGAGTTCAGACACTCAAAAGTCCAAAAGACTCGAACCTCGCAGATGAGTCTTCTTTTACAGTTCTCTTATTGGGATCCAACTTTTGCGCGTCTTGGCTCGCGCGCTCACCGTTACGCAGCTGCCTGCCGACTCTGTAAAGTCCTCAAAGTTCTTCTGAACTTTTAAAACATGGAAGCGGACTGAGTCTCCTCCTGTGGTTGTGGTTTTATACTGGCCCGACCTCCCACCTGATGTGAGTGCACAGAAAGTGCTGGGAGGTCCGGGATCACGCTGCAAAAGATGTCCAAATCAGGACTCATGAAAAACATTTAAACATCCAATCTGATGGAAACCAGAATATAACCAGAGTCAAGGGGAGTCCCAGATTTCTAAAACTGACAATGAACTAATAAAATAACTTTAAATCAGGAGTGAAAAAACTCGTTCATGGGGTTATTTTTTGCAGCGTGACGCAGCAGCTGACCCAGGGCCAGCCTACTTCTGTCCACTCCTCCTTGATGACTCACGGGATTTTTAATAGAAAATGACGTCTGGGACGTGACGTCACGTCTTCATGGGCAGGAGGAACGCTCATTTCTGGGTTTTTCCAGGTGAAACTTTATTACAATGTGGTTCACACACTGATGCACGTGCAGTATGAAAAGTAAAAGCTTCAGCACTCTGCTGGAAATGGGCTCAGAAACGCAGAATGGATCACGTGGGTCACCACTGCTGTCAACCAGGAATGAAATAAAATCATGAAGGCCTTCAGTCAGGGTCTACACATACAATCAGCACACATCGGTTCTGTTTATACAATTATGATGCCTCTTCACAACAAGATCTGATGTAAACGATGCAGAAATAAGGATCAGGGTCATAACTGCGGCACAAATCTCCCAGTCGCTTACACTCCAGCCTTCCTCACATTATATGATAACTTTTCTTTCCTTTTTTAGTGTCGTATTCCCTCATTTGTCCAGTTTAGGTGGCGTTTAGGGAAATAAGCTGAGTGCAGTCTGTCAGGCCTGGAGCGCCACACACACAGAGCCAGGGATCTGAAATCGTGAGGAAATCTAAATCAGCAGTTTATCTTTGGATTTTACTTTGAAGGGATTTTCTTTCCTGTGGTAAAAATGACGTGTTGATCTGGTCAGAGGGAAATACAACCTTGGCTTAATGGTAAACACAGTTCCAGCAGCTGAAATGTGTTGTTTCATTGGCCGTAACAGCTTCATCAGTCAGTCACGTTGTTGGGATGAAGGTGGGTTTGTGTCACAACACTTTTAGGAAAAGTAAAGTAGTAGTAGACTTTTGTTTTACAAAATGATTTATTTTATTTGCTGCAAACTTACCAAATCATCATTTTATAAATCTGAAACCCCTTTTAAAAATTTACTTTCCAATATTTCTTCCTGTGCCGTTTAAAGACTCGCTATTGGGCAGCGGGGTTAAGTCAACGTTACTCACAATCAACCGTAACTTAAAGGTGCTTAACACTCGTTTAATGAATATATTTGCGGTGGTCTCTAGTAAGAATTAATGCATTGTAAGTCGTAATCTGGAGAAACAAAGCTCCGGTGCACCATTTTCAGGAATTACAAGTGAGCCAAATCAGAGCTGCGCTTCGGACGGCAGGATATGGAGTCTCACGGTCGGGACATACTTGTTTTTAACCTCGGTGATAGCGCAGGAAGCGTCTTTGTTCACGCACGTGGTTCTGCACGACGCTGCACTGCAGGTAGCACTGGAGTGTTCCACTAGGGGGCACACTAGATGACTCAACAGAGAGTGGGTACAACCAGAACAAACATGGCGTCAATAGAAGAGATCAGTAACGGGTTAATTTTGAGAAAGAAAAGAAAAAGGCAGCGTCATCGTAGCGTAAAAACCTCTAAACCAGAGACGGAGTCACCATGGGGAGTGTGTCTCGCTCGTTTTGTCAACTCCACCTACTGGTTACTCGTATATAGCAGCGTTCAAACGCGTTGCATTAATTCCAGGGGACGTGCACCAACAATGTTTCAAATCAACGCGAGTTACGCGTGGCAGCCATTGTAAACACACGCGTCGTTAAGCAGCAAGCATGTTCCAGCCCTATTCTCTGATATTTGGACATCTCTTCTCTGATTGGCTAACAGCAACACAACTCACTGACTCTGCTTGCTTTGCAACGTTGATGTTTTATTTCCACAAATAACACGAGCCTGGAGGAGTTCTGCTGTGTGGTGGAGTTGCTAACGCTAACATTAGCTTCCACTAGTCGAGACGTTCTCTGCTGTTTCCTGGACGCTGAACCAACGACAGCCTTCCCCGTCGTGAGTCCAGATGGGTGAGTCCATGAATGTTAGTGACAGGGTGACGTAGATCTGTCAGGCTTTTCTGATCCAGGAGATAGGTGTAGGAGACTATTTCCATGTTCAGCCTGCATGAAACACTCATAGTGATTGATCATAATCTGATATTATTATTATTATTCTGAGCTACGACGGCAATCAGTTTCCCTCTGGGATTAATAAAGTATTTTTGAATTGAATTGATAAAATCATTAAAATGGGTTTTCAGAATGATTGTTTTATTTTTAGCTGCTTGTATGAAAAACTCAAAAATACATATTTGGGCTGCACGGTGACGCAGGTGTTAGCACAGTTTCCTCGCAGCAAGAAGGTTGCAGGTTCCAAACTCGGCGGTGGCCTTTCTGCGTGAAGTCGCGTGTTCTCCCCATGCGTGCGTGGGTTGCCTCCGGGTACTCCGGTTTCCCCCACAGATCACATCACGCCCAGTTGGCTAACAATTGTACATCTTTGAATAAAAGCGTCTGTCAAATAAATAAATAAATAAAAACATATTCGGAAAATCATTTTCATGGATCTGAAACTTTAAAAGGGTCTAGTTTTCGTCTCTCAACAACATGCATGGAAAACGTTCTAAACAAAAATGTGCTTTGGGTCATAGCCTGGCGGGCTACGACTCGTACATTAACCCTCTGCACGCCGCTGATCAGCGCTAGGACCAGTCAGAGCAACGTATTCATCATTTTATCGATGCGCAGGGCAGTCGGTTGTACACGGCCAAAGAAGAAGAACCTCTATCTGCTCATGTCTCAAAGAAAAGTCCAAGACTAAATCGTCCACGGCTGAAACCAAAGCTGATTCAAATGACCAGACTCCATCTTTGTAGTTTTTCTTCCGATGCAGCTCTGGTGCTACGCCTGTCTAATGTCTCCCTACAAACATCGAGCGCTGTGATTGGCCCAACCTCAAACAGTTTGGTCCAATGGTAGACCTGCTCAGGCTCTAATGGGGCGTGGCTACGCCGACCCGCAGAACAACATGTTTAGCTTTAGCTGCGGTTTGTCCCGATTTCTTTCCTCCTTGGGTTCAACTTAATTTTGATGCAAAGTCTGGATTCAAACCGCAACTCTGTAGAATTTGATGTTGCTTATTTCGCCCAACTTTTCTTATTGAAGCAGTGGCTTCGTGTTGGCTTTCATAACAGCTGTAAACCAATCAGCCTCTTTGACCGATGCCCACCTCTGTCCAGACGTTTTGTAGCCGACCACCGAGTAAACCCAGACAGGAAGTGTTTGGCTTAAACGTGTGAAACCGGTTTAAAGTCGTCGCCTCGCTCCACTCTGCTGCCGGCCCGGTTGTTCCTGACACTGGGAGGGGATTATTTCACCGACTCATTGTGGAGCAGCCATAATTATCGTGTCTCTGGAGCGAACTCCGAGAAGGAGACGCACCGTTGCATCAGCTAAGTCCGCGGTGTTTGCTCTGCATCCATCTGTGGCTGGCGGGCGACACGAAAAGCAAAGAAGTCAGACAGAAACATCACTTTTCCTCCCCCGAACATCTGCGTTTGTTCGTGAGATGGCGAGACCCCCAAACGGTTTACAGATAAATAAATAAATAAATAAATAAATAAATAAATAGAGTCTTAAAACCTCTTAACAAAGTTTGCATAGAAACATCGATGCGGTCTCGCCCATAAATGGTAAACAGGTCATGAGTGTTTTGATGCTGACGCGCGTTTTAAAAGCTGTTCATTTTTAAGTTTAGTTCCAGTTTCAGGAAAAGAAAAATCCTAACGAGAGCTAAATCTGTTCATCGGAGGGTCGTTTTGACCCCCTGGAGCAGAAAGAGGATCAGCTTGTGTTGAAAGTGAGCTAAAAGGAGAGATGTATCCAGTAAAGCCGCAGCAGAACTCAGACTGATCTGCATTATTCCTACAAAGCATCATTTTCCCTCAAAGCAGATCAATCAGCGCCGTCGCCGGGCCGGCGGTGCGGCTTAGGGAAGAACCTCGTCTGATACGTCCTCTGTTGTGCTACAGACAGATGTTCTGAACGGTTCCCCACTCGATCAGAGGAGGAATGAATCTGACATTTGGGCTGACAGGTGGTTTGCTGCGGTGAGGAGACACGTTTGATCTCCACCTTCTGGAGTGCTGAGATCAGAGCCAAAAGCCTTTCCCTGATTCCTGTGAAGCCGTCGGTAAACACCCGGATCAAACGGCCTAAA